TCGACGTACTGACGATTTCTGCACAAACGTGGTTTTATAATTGCGTATATGGGCAAATAAAACTGTACTATATCACTTTTATCACAACTTTTAATAAGTCAAAGCCAATTATATTCAAGACACACAAATTATCTCAGTGGTTTTAAAAACAGAAATCACAAGGGCTGCGTCTTGTAATAAATTTTATACAAAAGATACACTTGCTATAAACTTCCAAGTTAAATATTACGAAACGCGAAAGTAATAAAAAATAAAACGTAAATAATATTTATTATTAAAATCACTAATCACTTACTACTTTACGAGCACATATTAGTTTGACAACTGACAAATAAAACTCTATTTTCCCTTCACGACTGTTTTTTTTGAAGATTGTATGATCGCGACTGATATTCTATCAGTCGCGATAGAATGTTGACAATTGACATTCTATCTTAGGTCGTCATCTGACAATCGTTTGACGCTTATATATATGTCACAAAATATGTAAAAAACCGTCTACGGTAAAAAACGTCAAAAAGGTATTGGATTTTGACAGAAGGGAGTCATAAACCATAGTTCACAAAACATTTAAACCACAGGAACAGAAGTTGCACACACAAATAAAAGAGCATACGCCACACACTAGAGTCTAGACTCTAGAGTTTAGAAATTAACTGTCCCTTTGAGAGGAAGATGTTCTCAGCTATCGCTTCAGCCTTCAGGCTTCAACAAAGGTGATGATGAGGCGCCGGTTAGTCATTGGTAGTTCGCATTTAATCTCGTTTCTGAATCTCACTCTAAGTACTAAGACCAAGAACCAGCAGAGAAACCGTGCTAAAATAGCATACGAAGGAATACGTCGATCCTATATTTTTTTACGTTTAAATTGTTTTCACGTAGGTAGGCACTTGGCAGTAGTTTACTTCCGGACTAGTATTGTTCTTTGTCGATATTTTTTATCATTAAAAATAAAATACCAAACGGGAATTACAATTTTACGTTTATTCATTATGCCTATTTTTTTTTTTTTAATAAAAATAATATAAAACGTTTACAATCAAGCATTTAGGGTGGTGAATTATAGATATAATATAATATCTCCACAACCATGGGGTTCCACATGTTGGGGATGGTACAGGGGGGTAGCAGTAGACCCCCCCTCCCCTCTCCCCAAAACCCCATAAATCCTGCGGCTGGATTCTAAATATTGCCCTTATAATGTATATGGTAGGTATGTGTTACTCTGATTAATATGAATCGATTATAACAGGTAGTTTGCGACACAGTTATTTAGTTACCTACATTCTAAAGATACATTTGTCTTTATAATATATTTATACCATTCTATATCTTAATAATTTTGTGTATGAAAGTGTTTTTGAAGTTGTACTTCTTTAGGCGCGTTATGAAAAATTGATGAGAGTGAAATTTTACGATTGCGCGCGCACCTATGACACAAAATTGGCAGTGTGATATAGCGTGCGCGAGCGAGATGGGAATAAGACAAACTACAAGTAAAAAGAAATAGAATATGCGTGAAGCTAACTTCACGCATATTCTAGCTTAGCAGCTTAACAAGAATTTTGAATGACCATGACAATTGACATCTGACAATGACATTTACCTTTTAAACAAATATAGGAGTTTTAATTATTGTTTAAATTTTAAAATTAATAATTATATACCTAGTTATTTTCATTATACAAAATATTTGTGAAATAATATAAAATATTTGTGAAAAAACTGTGCTAACCTTCCTGAGTGCTTCAATACAATTGAGGTTAACTATCCGTATGTATTATCGAGTATTATTGTTGATTAAAACTGAAACATGAACCATTATTCATTGCTTTTGTTTATTGCGTTTGTTACAGCAACTTTTTAGAAATATTCTACGACCCTATATATCAATAACTGAGAACAAAGATTTAATAAGCACGAATACTAATAAGGAGAAAATGAAGGCTTGGAGCGATATAACAGAGAAGTAAACATTTTAATAAGTACCTGCATCTCAAAAAAATGACCACATTATTTAATCAAAACATCAGATTTAATCTAGCAAATATAAGGACAAGAGACAAAAAACAATTGATGAATCAGTGGAAGTGCACTAAATTGAATACAAAAAAGAGTTGTCATCTTATCGCCGTGAAACATCAAAAACTGGAGGTGGAACAAAGCCACCATCACCTTCTCGAGACACAATGGTTTGAAGTAGATTTCAATGAATTTGATTGTGATGGTGTCGAGGTAGGAATGTTAATTATAAATATGATGTATGGTGATGTTCAAGGTTCAACCTTTCAAGCATAGGCATATGCTTACAACATTACTTTATTCCCCTACAGGGTAGTTAGAGATATTGTAATACCTCAAAACATCCATGTTGCACTTGTAGTACCGAAACTCTGTCCTGCCAGAAGTGAGCCCATTCCCACTTATAATGGACAGTGGGTATAATACACCTTAATACCTGAGTGCGAACCACTCACCATGATACTTAAATTAATAGATGTTATTTATATATTTCAGGTTATTACAAATAAAATCATTTTGGAAACAATTGATATCCCAAAAGCAAATAAAGCCAACAATGACAAGGTAATAAATCAGTTTTGACATAACTTGAATACTAAAAAAGCCAAACAAAGGTGTGCACAACAGTGACAACATAACTTAACAATTTCATTATTTTGTAGGATTAAAGAAAGGTTAAAGAAAATCATGTCGAACTGAACAACAAGAATCCCCAAACAACTCCAAAGAAACCTACAAGGAAGACACCGGTATTATATTTAAATTATCTCTATCTCTAAATAGAATAAAAGAAAGTTGCTATCCAGGTCTGTAGCATGTGCTACAAATTATATTATTAACACATTTATATAATTATATTAATATAAATGTGTTAAAAAATTTATAATATGAATTATAAAAAATTTTAAGTTTTGCATGGACAGAGCTTAAATTAATATTCTCTTATTTGTTGCAGAAAGCAAGTAGTTTTGGAGAAGCCTCGTAGATGCACAACCAAGTAATGATTAATTTAAAATTACAAACCGAAATTCTGATGAAGACATTAGAGTCACTTAAAAATAAATAGTATAATGAAATAAAAATGTTTTAAAGATAAATAGTGTTTTATTTGTTTAATGTAAGAGAATAATAATAAATATTTATTTAATTAATTTTTCAAATGTAAACTGAACTTTATTGACTTTAATGACTCCTTTTCCAGTCTTTGATTATTTAATTGTAATTAATTATTTGCATGCAATCAAAAACTATTTTTAATAATGCCAAAGAAGTATAACTTCTTACGCGCGTACATAAGTACACGCAAAGTGTTTTTTTATTTATTTATTAAGCTTTATTTAATCCATACAACAATTGGTTAGTTTATATTCTTTAATATTAGTATTAGTTAAGTTAATAAGTTTTAAACAAAATTTAAGTAAGATTTATTTTTAATTTTTTATGTCTGGTATTTGTATGGCTCCTTTTAGGGTAAAAGCCTCCTCCATATTTTTCCATTTCTCTTTGTTTTGAGCAACATTCATCCAGTTTTCCCCCGCAAGTTCTACAATGTCATCTGTCCATCTTTTCCTTTGTCGTCCTATACATCTCTTTCCAGTAGGTCCAGTCCATTTCGTTATTTCTAGTGTCCATCTTTTATCCCGCGCTCTAGCAATATGACCTGCCCATTTCCATTTTAGCCTTAGAGCTTGTTCAAGTGCATCTGTAAGTTTGGTTTTTTTACGGATTTCAACATTTTTTATTTTGTTTATTCTCCTCAACTTTAGGATGCTACTTTCCATTGCATGCTGGCAAGACAGGATTTTTCTAGTTGTTTTCTTGCTGAAAACCCACGTTTGACTTGCGTATGTAAGACAAGGTAAAATATTTGAATCCATCATTATCTTCTTGTGTTGTAGACTGTAGTTTCCTTTCAGAATTTCCTTGTGGGTCCAGTATTTCTTCCAAGTCACGTTTATTCTTCTATATACTTCGTTTTCACTGCTGTTCTTATCGAAAGATACTTGTTTTTCTAAATATACATAGTTGTTAACATATTCTATAGGTTTACTGTCGATTCTGATTGGCTGGCACACACTGTTGGATAAGATTCTTGTTTTTGTGGTATTCATGTAAAGCCCGACTTTTTGACTTTCCCTGTCTAATGTTTGAAGCATTTTTTCTAATTTTGTAGCGGTGTCATTGAAGACGGCTATGTCGTCTGCGAATCTAAGGTGAGTAAGATGTTTGTTTCGTATCCAGAGGCCGTTATTATTCCATTCTATACCTTTGAATACATCTTCGAGGACGGCTATAAATAATTTTGGGGAAAGTGGGTCACCCTGTCTTACACCTCTTTCAATTCGAATGTCTCGGCCTTTGTTTTCTAGCTTTATTCTACCAACACTATTGCTGTATATGTTCTGTAATATATTTATATATGAAAGTGTTACTGAAAATAATCTTGCATGTCCCAAACATGTTCACGCCGCCCCTTTTTTTAAAGATGTGTGAAAGCCTGTGCCTACCAACCTATAATAGTGCATACATCATAAATAAAAAGCAAAATGGATTATATGTTTTATTAATTTATTAACTTTAAGCAACTTAAAGCAAATTTTACAATATTCCAAAACATCCCAAATTCCTTTTACAAGGATTTCTAAACACAAGCATAAACATTTTTTCTCTCAACACAGCATACTGAATACAAAATTTAAAAATAATGGTGGCAAATTATAAAATTATTAAGTAGTATTAAAAATATAAGATTTGATCAAGAAGTTGTTAAATATGTCAAATGACTTTCAATAAAGCTATTGAAATAACTTTCCAATATATAGAGAAAATGAAATCATGGCCTTGAGTGGGCCTGTGGCCACATGAAATAAAAATGATTCATTCCTAATTCAAATTCAGTAATAAGCTTTTGGCTCTTTATAAATGCACATTAGTGTATTTAACTTCACCAAAAATTTTCAATATTATTAACTAAACTATCAATCACTAAGATCTGAATCAGAGTCCTTTGTTCCCCTTATAGCCTTCTTACTTTGGATATGTACGGACTTCTTTTTACCCTCAGAAGGTGGTGTTAGAATGTCTCCAGAATATTCGATCACTTCTGACCTAAAACAAAATAATTACAAAAAACCATATTTACTGATTTAAGTGTACAACAAAGATGCCTTCAAGGAAATTGTATAAAATTGACTGAAATGGGTAATTTTCAAAATCTATATGCCTGCAAATAAAACAACAAATAACTATCCTAAGCTAAGTGAATAAAGGTTCTATGAGGTGTTTCAATGAAACCAGTATAAATAAAGAAGGGTTTAAAGTGAAACGAATTGGTATGGCATATGAAGAAAAAAGTCAAATCATGTTTTATATTACTATGGCACAATGTTTGTATATTTATAAGATACTTATTTATTTTATTTTTTCACACTTTATTGCAAAATTTGTAAATAAGGATTGTATAGAACTGTAACTTGTAATACAGGACTTTTTATAATACAGACTAAACCAAAAATAATACAGACAACCGATAACCTTATTAAATCATAGAAAAAAAGCAAACGATAACGACATCGTTATAGACAGAGAAAATAGGTACGGACAGGAAATTTTTATATTAAGTTTAAGTTATTAATTGGAGGCCGATAGTGAAGAAGCCGAAGGAACGTGAGAAGAAGTCACGCTTTATCACTTGACCATTTTCATACAAATGCGTTTGGCGTTAGGGGGCCGGAAGGAAAAAAGTTCTATTGTTTTACCTACATTAGAAATTAGAACAAATATTTCAGATTGTATCAGTATTATCAGTGTGTGTGACTATTAGCAAGAATATTCAATGATGTATTTATTTATATTCATATATTGTTACAGTTAAGCAACAATACGATAGTGGTGATCTTGATGATGATTTTCGATTAACCATCTACATTACTACTCCACATCCTTCCTTACATTATTTAAAAATGGTCATATGTCTTGTGTCTTTTACTACTGTTTTAATAATCACTTTTGTTATTTTCTTGCTCTAACCTTATTGAAGAGATCACTCGAAAGCGAAAAAGCAAACCTTATTTTTTAAGTATTATAATTTGTACTGGTTTTTGTAATAAAGTGTTAAATAAATAAATATTATGTAAAATTATTATACCTGGCGATCCTCCACTCGAGCATATCTGTGGAGAAGTCATCTCGGTTACCAAGATCAGTGAATCCAACCACAAAATCCTTTGTCTTATTTGCTTTCACTAATGCAAGAGTTGGTATTACACGTATTTTGAGACGGCCTGTCAGAAATTTAAATCTTAGTATAAATCAATACACAACATTCCTATAAAGTAAAATAAAAAATACAAATAACACACATAAAGGTGTTTTTTTTTTTAAATTTAACCAATTATTCTCACTGTTATCACTGGATCTTATTAACACTCTTTCTTCATGTTATAAAGGTTAATAACATTTACAAATACATATTGTGCCCTGAATAGCTCTCAAAACAACTACTTAAAAGACAAGCCTTCAAAGTGAAACAATTACTCTTTCCACCAGAATCAAAATTAGAAATTACACAATTGGTTTTTGCAATTAAGCTGTTAACGTGGTTAAGTGAAGTGACGTTTAATGGGTCACAAAATAATTACCAGTTAGAAATGGTGCTTTCTCAGCATCCATCTTAATGAATCGAGTCTCAACATGCTTTTTGGCCAAGATCTTAAGGTGCATGTCAAATATGCGACACCTAGGTGAATCATGTCTATAGAAATGGCATACGAGGTTCTCACTCTTGTTGCATACAGTAAAAAATTCCTTTTCTCCATCTATCTCTGTATATTCACCATGACCCTACAAAAAATTAAGTTATGCATGTCAGTTTTCCTAGTTTTGCTGTGTAAATATTTACATTACCATATAACTACATATGTGTAAAAACTTTATATTATTATTGTATAATTTGTATACATCTCTAATACTTAAAAAAAATTAACCTTTATCAACTTAACAGAAACAAAACTTAGCAAAAACATATTCTAACTATTCTTATAGTATATACAATGTATATATGTGGATATGTACATACATTAGCCAGCCACTCTTGTTTTTGCTTAGCACGTTGTTTCATCTCATTTAAGCGCTGTTGACGAATAGCTTCAAGGTCACCACCATCCAGAGCATCTAGCCTAAAAAAATTTAAGAAACACCAGTAATTTAATTTATTTCAGTTGATGTGACGATTACATACATAATTAAGAAAAGGTAAGTAAATTGAAAACCTCTTTTTTTTAATTAGACAAAACACTTACTTTTCCAGCTCAAAATCGAGCTGTCGCTCCATTGTTTGGGCGATTTGTTGTATAGCTTTCTCCATGTTGTCTAAAAAAACAAAAGTAATATAAAGACTTAGTATTGAGTCCTATGTATTAATTTAATATATATTTACTGAAGTTTACTACATCATACATAATACTATTATATCTATAGTATATGTTATGAGCAATCTTTTCTGAAATAAATGACAGTTTTGGTAAACATAGACACCTGTGCCTATGTTTACCGGTGCCTGAACTCTTAGCTTGGTTTTTGTAGCCAGAATTTCGAAAATTCTGCTGATTATCAACCTTGGATATGAATAAGGGACGACCATGTTTATGTCCCGTAAGAGGTTACTGTTCTGTATTGGACCATTTAGCAATTTCAATAAGATCATAACACCGGCTAGAGATCTCCGATTGTGTCAGTGACTTCATATTTAATTTCTTACGTTGCTGATGGTCCAGGTGCCTATGAGAAATTCCTGTACTTGTGACGTACAAGGCGTTGAGTAAATAATACTTCAATCTTTCAAACCGTTGCGAATATATTCAACATTACTGCGCACTAGAGTGTTACACAAAATTATTTTAGTTTTACAGCCAAACAATCGGTATTCCGTTTAAGAAATTTGAGCTTTCGTGCGGATGTGGTAACTACTTAATAAGCTTGAGTTATAAATGTTAATTTTCTATCAATCATTATTACATATTATAAATATGTATAAGTTAAAGTTTCAATCCTTATGATTATAGACGATCATCATTCGAAAACGTTACCGTTCTTTAAACACCTTACTGTAGTTTAGACTTTACACAAAAAAAAATTCTGATACGTTTATTAGTAAGGAAGCCGATGACCTCATTGTGATTTAAGTTGTACAAACTTGTACTTGTACTACTTACTACACATGTTTTAAAAAATCTTGATATACTAAATACTTACGAATAAAATTTCGTGAAATGAACACAGGTATATAAGTAATTAAATAAAATCTAGATAAAGTGTCTATAAAGAAATTATATTTTAAATTAGACACTATTTGTTATATTTTGTTATTTGAAATTTCAAAACAATCTTTCAGAACACTAGTCTAGATGTGAAAATGACAACGTCAAATTTGAGAACCATAGACCACTTACTATTTTTTGTTCGACTATTTAAATACAGAACGTTACTTTACTATGACTTCCCATCTTAAATACTTAGGCAAATAAAAATGTAAACTTACTGGTATAACAAAATAACACTCGTCTTTGAGTACCATAACAAAAAAATTATAGCACTCTCTTATAATATGCAGTCTTTGTTTTGCTTTAATAAGAAGCGTTTTTATAGAAAGTAAAATAATAATTCTCTTCTCCAACGTCGAAAACTCGGTGCTTACAATTTTGTCGAATTATATTAACTCAAGTTAAGAGAGAAACAGATAAATAATAATAAAACAGATTCTCGCGAGGCGACTCGAAGGTGCGGCCCGAGGCCCTTGTTTAATAGTAGAGGAGCCCAAGCGGGGATTTCGGGATTTACTAAAGCGCGGCAGATTAATATACAGGGGGATACCTTGTACCCGGTTAAGTACCTCCACAAAACATGAGGCCCATATATAAGGCCACACGTGAAGGATACAGAATGAGATTAGTAACAAAAAATTGACCATCAGAAATTCTCGAGCGCGTCAGATTAAGGTAGGGTGAGTTAATTACATCCTAAAAAGTGTATATTCCACTAATCTGACAATTTGAGAGTGACGTAAAAAAAGGGGAGGGCAACAAATTTGTAAAAAAAAGTCATCTCGACATTCTCGAGCGTAGCTAATTTTTTTTTATTTTGAAGGAAATAATTCAAGAATAATGAAAAATATATAATCTGACGATTTCCGCAAGCCAAAATAACAAAAATTCGTCGATAAAGTTAAATGCGTGCAGCTTCGTGATGCCTACATTTCCTTAAACCGACTGGAATCTACTAAACGGCGTTCTAAATATTTCCCTCAAAATTACATTTCCTGTGAATTTGAACCGATTCGGACCGATAGATTTTGAGAAATTTTGAAAAATCTCAAAAAAAATATAAGTTTTTTCTTTTAAGTGGTTTCTTTATCGATCAACTTCAAAAACTAATCCGCCTTTGAGCTTGAAAAACCACGTCGATCGCCACCAAGCTGGTCAAAAGCGGTTGATTCGTTCGAGAGATATCGTGAACGAAAGAAACCCGAAAAAGCGTTTTTTCGGGATTACTCCGAAATTTTTGGTTCGATCAATTAAAATTGCATAATTACTTATGAGGATGATAAAACTGCGTCGAATGCCGCCAACCGCGTGAAAATTGCTTGATCCATTCAAAAGCTATTGCGGTTTGAAAATTCCAAAAATAGTGTTCTATGAAACTTCTATCAGACTTTCGAGCAGGGAGAGCTCAAATGCATAGAAATATTATTTTTTTGAACTCAGCGAGCTCAAAATATCAATTTTAAGCGCCCAGGAATGGAATTAGCGGGAAGTTGCAGGGATGGCCTTTAAGGTAAACCGTTTTTCTAATTTTTTTTGTCAGATTTTTGTCAGAGGGTTTGCGTCCCATCGAAATCGTCAGATTAGTGAATGAGAGCTTTTTTTTGGTGCACTTAACACTCCCTTAGAAAATCTGACGCGCTCGATTAATTTTTTTTTTCATTTTCAACCCTTAAATACAACCACTCGCATCACGCAAACGATCAGATTAACATACGTACATTATTAAAAATACGTAGGGCATTGATGCTATCAATATCTGACGCGCTCGAGGATGTCCATGCAACAGTTTTTTTTTACATATTTAAAAATCTATAGCCGCTTCCCCCACCGATGTAAAGCTATATATCATATAATTTTTTTTCTTCTTATCATCTAAGCTTTGCATCCCAATAGGTCTCTACGACGCTCGAGTAAATCCCCATTTAGCATCGTGGGCTCCCCTACTATTAATATTAAACATAAATTGCTCGCTACATCTAGCACAAAATTTATTTATTATTTATTTATTTATTTATTCCTTATTTCCTATTTTTACAGTAACTTAATACTAATACAATAGAAAACTAACTTAAAACATAATATAACCATAACAAGTAAAAACTTAAAAAAACCTAAACAATTTTATAACTAATTATAAATAATGAAATTCTTGTGAATTCAGCCAGTGTGCAACTAAATATATCCGTCTCACAAGCAATAGTGTTTAGGGTGCGCAAAACACGCGTAAATGGTGCTTCTCTAAGTAAATTCGTCCGCGCCCGAGGCACTGCCAGCAATTGCGACCGCTTACTCCGCCGAGTGTGGTTATTTGGCACACGCAGCCCCAGTCTTTCCAATATTTCCGCATTATATATTTTACCTCTAAGGATCTTAAAATAATATAGCGTGATAGTAAGGTCCCTCCTTACCTCTAACTTGTTGTATCCAACCATGCCCAAGACAAACAAAGTTGGATACATTATTGGGTAAAATGGGTACACTCCATACAACCTCATGTATATGTATCTCATAAATTTATTTTGGATGCGCTCCACCATTAGAGAATATTTTTTTTCTTGTGGGGCCCAAATCATAGAATTATATTCCAAGTGGCTCCTAACAAGTGCATTATACAATGCCATTACCGCTTTTATATTTGAAAATCCTTTGGCCATACGCAAAATAAACCCTAAATTCCTATAAGCTTTTTTACAAATTATTTTTATGTTATCCCGAAAATTTAATTCCACGTTTAAATGAACCCCTAGGTCTTTTATTTCGGCTACTCTTGGAATTGGCTGTTTCTCAATGTTATAATTATAAAGAATCGGTGTCCGTGCTCTGGAAAAAGAAATAACAGCACATTTTGCAGAATTAAGCTGCAGTCGATTTTTCCTGCACCAATTTACTACCCGATCAATATCCTGCTGCAATCGTAGACAATCTTCCTCACTATTAATCGGCCGTGATAATTTAAGATCATCCGCGAACATTAAACATTTTGCCTCTTCTACTACCCCTGGTAGATCATTTACCATTAACAAAAATTCTAAAGGTCCTAAATTGCTCCCCTGCGTCACGCCAGACCAAGTGTAATAGTTCCTAGATTTAATGCCATCATATTCCACATACTGCTCCCTATCTGTCATGTGACTTGCCATAAACCGAATCAATGACGCAGTGAAGCCAACTTTTGCTAATTTCATCAAGAGCACGTCGTTATCGACCGTGTCAAATGCTTTTCGTATATCAAAGTAGGCTGCATCAACTTGTCCTCCACTATCCACAACTGGTACTATGCAAGTCAAGAAGCTTAATAAGTTGCTCGTGGTACTTCTTGCTGCTCGAAATCCATGTTGTGAGTCAGAGAGTTGAGATCCTACCTGATCAAGAATGCACTTTTGAAGCGCTGACTCCATTACCTTCGCTGGTGTTGACAAAATCGCCACCGGTCTATGATGGTCTACTTTGTCACTTTGTCTACCTTTAGGTACCGGAACCACTTTGCTAATTTTCCAACGATCTGGGAATGTTGACGCTTTAAGGCTAAGATTGAATATATGGAGAAGGGGTTCCGCCAATACTGCCCGACAGTCTCTAAAGATATACGGAGGTATACCATCAGGCCCCGCGGACTTTTTTGGTTTTAAACGTTGTAAGGCATTCCGTACCTCCTCTAATTGCAACTTATCTACGTGAACCAACGTTCCCCCACTTCCACAATCCGCCTCCGCAATAGCTTTCTTAACGTCAAGCTTGGGCTTTTGCGTAACATACACTGAACTGAAATAATTAGCGAATTCCTCTACCCTCTTATCCATAGTTAACTCTTTTCCGTTACTAACAATACCCCTAGGCTGTCTTTCAGCCCTTTGGCTCTTTACAAATTTCCAAAATGACCTTGGATTTTCTATGACGTTCGTTTCAATAACTTTCTGATACCTATCAAATGCCTTAGCAATCCCTACCTTTACCTCAGCCCTACACAAGCTAAACGCTTGGTAGTCACCTTGCAACTTAGTTCTCTTATAACGCTTATGTAGCTTAGCTTTCCATTTTATTTTAC